GGAAGTATTAGTTTGATTGCGGTGTCAATAATTCCACTACTATATGCATACTCCACGTCTTAATTCCATTTCTGTTTAGTTCAGTTATGACTTAAGTCGGATTTAGGTAATCAAAAATCGCTGTTTTCGAGCTTATGTAGGCCTACAGTTCAAAATTTATGCTTAACTAATTAAACAGTTTGAAAACACAAGTACACCTTATTAAACATAATTTATTTTCATCACCAATTATCATAGTTGAACAGTTTATCAAGCAGTTTGGGATGCATTTTGGAAACAGGAGATGAACCCCTGGTCTAATGCGCCACCTGGCTTGAGAAACCCATTCTCAAAGACTTATTATTTAATAATATCCAGCTGCAGGTCTGCAGAACCACTCACGTTTTATGCACACACAATCTAAGACACACAATTTGGGCAAACCATATTATTATTATATTATATTATTATATTATTAGCGTCTTTTTGAACATAGTCATCGATATATTTTGATATATATGGTTAATAAATATTGTACACAATAAACAATAGTGTTTACTTTACTTTATTTCACAAATATTGCAATTGAAACGGGTAAATGGGGAGCGTTGTTTCCGATCGCCATTCAATATAATAGACTTAACAGTTTTTAATCAGTCATTATTATCTGACAGTAATATGGCAGATACTCGTTTGCTGGCCTTGCTAAACGATCTAAATTGGACAAGTTTAATTTATATAATGGATTCATTTATAATGAAGGAAATAATAGCAAGTTAATATAGACAATAATACATTATATGTAAAAATCTTTTTACATGTAAAATGTATAACACTTTATTAACATTTTATTCAAGTGATTTAATAGTGTTTATTTGCTTAACAATCTAATAACCTTTTAATTAATGATTTCCCACATTTAATACTGAAGTAATTTATAGTAAGTAAATTGTTTTTAAACCAAAATTTAGCAATATGAACAAATTCACTAATAATAATTATAAAAAAATAAGTATATATATATATATATATATATATATATATATATATATATATATATATATATATATATATATATATATATATATATATATAACTAACAGCTGTGACAGTTTAGTAAAAGATAGTAGTTTATATATAAACTTCTAATTATAATCAGATAATCAGTTAAGATAATCAGTTTATAACTATATATTGTTTAAATGATTAACTATAATATGTCACATTAAAATAAATTAGCATACTATTGTTTGCTTTTTATATTTTACAACAAAGTGATTTTAACCAAGTATGATAAGATTAAGATCCTGAATTAGTTTATTACACTGAATCCTATAGTTAGACAGTCTGTTATGTTTTCTTTGTTTATGTGGACACATGAATAAAGTCATAAGTGTCTTAAACCAATTATTTTTGTTCACATAATTTGAGTTCAGAAACTGCAGAGATATTAAAATGATCGTTACGATATAATAATAATAATAATAATAATAATAATAATAATAATAATAATAATAAAGACTGAAATGGGAAACCATACTTGTGAAATTCAATAGGTGGCGATAATGCTAAAGAGTTAGTTAATTACCATATATGGTTTGCCTAAATCGTGTGTCCTAGATTGTGTGCCTAAAACGTGTGTGGTTCTGCAGCTGGATAAATCTCGTATTATTAGGGTAGCTTACATATTCTGAATGCCTTCGGCAGAATTCAGATGAGCCATTTTAATCTAGATTGAAAAGATTCATCTATGCCCACCTAACAAATAAATAATAATAATAATAATAATAATAATAATAATAATAATAATAATAATAAAAAAACACACACACACTCACACAGTCGAACCAAGAATTATCAGCCCCCCTTAGATTTTTTTTCTTTTTAAAATATTTCCCAAATTATGTTTTGACAAGCCAAGAAAATTATCACAGTATGTCTAATAATATTTTTTTCTTCTGGACAAAAGTCTTTATTTGTTTTATTTCAGCTAGAATAAAAGCAGTTTTTATTAAAAAAAAAAAAAAAAAAACATTTTAAGGTCAAAATTATTAGCCCCTTTAAGCAATTTTTTATTATACAATTACTTGCCTAATTACAGATTGTTATACAGAATTGGGTAATTACCCTAACCTGCCTATAGTTAACCTAATTCATCTAGTTAAATGTCACTTTAAGCTGTATAGAAGTGTCTTGAAAAATATCTAGTCAAATATTCTGTACTGTCATCATAGCAAAGATAAAATAACTAAATTATTAAAAATGAATTATTAAAACTATTTTGTTTAGAAATGTGTTGAAAATTTCTTCTCCATTAAACAAAAAAAATTAATAATTCTAACTTCGACTGTGTGTGTGTATACAGTTAAAGTCAGATTTATTAGCCCCTCTGTGAATTTTTTATTTTTTTATATTTCCCAAATGATTTTTAACAGGGCAAATAAATTATGTATGTCTGACACAGTATGTCTGATAAAATATATATATATTTTTCTGGATAAAGTCTTATTTGTTTTATTTTGGCTAGAATAAAAGCAGTTTTTATTTTTTTAAACCCTATTTAAGTTAAAAATTATCAGCTACTTTAAGCTATTTTTTTTTGATTGTCTACAGAATAAACCATCGTTATACAATAACTTGCCATAACTACCCTAACCTGCCTAGTTAACCTGTTTAACCTAGTTCAGCCTTTAAATGTCACTTTAAGCTGTAAAAAAGTGTCTTGAACAAGATCTAGTAAAACATTATTTACTGTCATCATGGCAAAAATAAAATAAATCAGTTATTAGAAATGAGTTATGAAAACTATTGTGTTTAGAAATGTGTTGAAAAAAATCTTTGCTCTGTTAAACAGAAACTGGGGGGCAAAAACAGGGGGGCTAATAATTCAGAGGGGCTAATAATTCTGACTTCAACTGTGTGTGTGTGTGTGTGTGTGGTTGTGTGGTTGTGTGTGTGTGTGTGTGTGTGTGTGTTTGTGTGTGTGTGTGGTTTCTTTTATATAATGTATAACTATATAAAAGTAAAGTTGCATTATTACTAAAGTTCTTTGTCTGAAATTGAAGTTATCTGTTTAAAGATAACCAGTCATCTAAATACAGTATAGGTAAGCATATGCATCCCAGCGTTCATAACTATTAATGGTCTGTAGTAGCACTGTGGAGTTACTAAATTCAATTCATCTTTATTTCTACAGTGCTTTTACAATGTAGATTGTGTCAAAGCAGCTTCACATAAAAGTTTAAGTAAAATGAAACAGTGTCAGTCCAAATTGTTAAACAAAAACACTGGTGTAAGGTCTCAAGGGATTTGTTTCACCACCATCTGTTCTCTAAACATGCAGACAGTTAGCTGATCTCTCTCACCCTGTTGAAGATGCACTTAAATGTGAATCACTAAAGTACGCTACATTACACATAAAAAAAATTGTTAACCTAAATCATTCAATTCACTTTATTTGTACACTATAGCACTTTTACAATGTAAATTGTGTCAAAGCAGCTTCACATAGAATGTCATAGGAAATTGAAATAGTGTTGTCCAGTTTTCAGTGTTTAAGCTCAGTGTGGTTAATAATCACTACTGAGAGTCCAAACACTGAAGAGCAAATCCATCGATGCACAGCTCTGTAGATCCCGAACCATGCTAGCCCGCGGCGAGGAAAAACTTTACCAATTGGCCAAAGTCTTCTTCGTCATCTAGGGGAGGCCTCATTTATTCAATATTTTAAAAATAAATTAAATTCGAAACTATTAGGAACCTCTGTATATCACTTAATCTGTTTTGTGTCTGTTATACATACTATTTATTTGAAAACCTAGTCCTATTACAAATGATAACAAGTAATTTTTAATAAAGATTTAAATGATAAACATGCCGAGACATTTAACTCACCCTATTTGAACAGATGAACAGCATTGACTATTATACAGCTTTATGTTGCATCAGTGCAATACTCTGGGCCCGGTTTTTCAAAAGTAATCCACTAGGATTTGGGATAAGGGATTGGATCAAATCTTGAAAATGGGTTTTTCAAAAGAAAAAACGGTCTACCTAATCGGATTAGATCACGTAATCCAATCTTGGTTTTGATCCGGATCAAACCTTTAATTTGGGTTTTTCAGACCTTTTTTGTAGGATCTGGATCACTTTGATCCAAAAAACCTGGATTAAACTGATCCCATCAGAAGGGTGGATTTAGCGTGGATTTCATGCCTAAAATTTAATGAAAACTTAAAAAAGTATTAAATAATACTATTTTTGGATCATGCAGTATCTTACGAGATATACTATTTATTAATAAGGTTTTAATTTTATTTGTTTATCCGTCGGGCTATAGTGATTATAGGCTTTACCGTGTTCAGCCTTTCAGTATAGGCCTACAGCAAAGTAGAAAGAGTTTGGCCTCATAAGATAATCCTCCAAACAGCTGTGAAAATTTACCAAAAACAATAACATTTTTTCTGTCACTAATTGATATATATATATATATATATATATATATATATATATATATATATATATATATATATATATTCATCACAATGGAAAATATTTTTCTTTTTAGAATTTTTATTAGTAATGCATGCAATGATAACAGAATAACCGAAAATAAATAAAAAATGCAAAGAATGGCAATAACTTTAGATTTCTCTTTCAACAATTGCAAAAAGAGACTGAAAGGGCAGAAGCACAGCTTCATCTGGCAGAGAACAACTGACCCTGACCAAACTGCAGCAAACCAAGACCAGACTTGAGATCCGCCTCCTAAAGGCTGCGCTCAGACAAGCTGGTCTCTCCACATCAGATGAGGAAGTCTGAAATTATTGTGGAGTTTTTGAAATTAAGTCTTTTTTTTATTTACATCTATATTTGAAACTTATTATAAATATCCTCAATGTACAGTGTTGTAGGTCTCAGATGAGTGGACTGCTGGAAGAGGATGGGGTGGGCTTTTTCTTGCTTTTATTATTTATTATTATTATTATCATTATTTATTAAATTTTCTTAGTTTTCATTTAAAAAAAAATATAGTGATATTGACCCCACACTGGCTATTATATTTGTTGCTCTTTACCTAGGCCTATCTATCTACATTGTGATTGAGCACTGGTTATCCAGAATTAGTAATCCTGAAAAGTTCCTATCCGGATCAGATTGATCCAATCCGATGTTGCTTTGAAAAACTGGCTCAAAAAGTAAACTGGATTACGTGATTACAGATAGCAAAAACAGGATTACTAAATCCGGATCAATTTGATCCGGATTAAACCTTTTGAAAAACCGGGCCCTGATCTACAAGTCATTATCAAGGCACTTGATGCTAAATAATATTTATTTAAACATGTATTTGAATTCCCTAAGCAAACTATTTAAGACAAACTTTTACAATGACTACAGATGGACATGAACTATCTATGTAACAGTTTCCTCATGTGAATTATTTTGAACTAGGTTTTACAAAGGCACAAAACAAATCTTTTGTCTTACTAAAAAAATGCATTTCTTCAGACTCTAGGATCAATTATTTTCACTCATTTTTTGTTAAGTCTGTAACTACTGGAATAAACCTAAATTAGCTTTTTATACTTGAAGGCATCACATTATTAAAGGACAATTCATGTTTGCTAAACATCTTGTGATATGCTAAACTTGCCCTGGGTTGTGTCCAGTAATATTGTTTCACTATTTTGTTTTCCTAATAGTGAAATTCTTAAGCTCCAGCCATACCTTCATGTAATCTGATCATAAGACCAGAAAACTCCAGTCCAGGACATGGTTAATTGTTAGGAAACATTTGCTGTTTCTACCATGGCCTCCACATGAACTTAGAGTGTGTGACCATGGAGAAGTCCAGGGTGTCTTCAGCTGATGCTGAGCGTTCTTCAGTCTCTGTCTCATCCAGGTCAGAGCAGAGATCATGACAGAAGGGGTTGGACAGAAATTGTGGTAATTCTGAAGACATGCCGGACACGCAGTGTCTTCCAGGGTTTTGTGCTTCTCCAGATTGCCAAGAGTCACCAGAAGAGGAAGGCTCTGATATGAGATCCTTAATCATGTCATGAAGGTGATTCTCATTTAATGGCATGCTCTCCAGCAAGTGGTTGAGTAGTTCTGCAGCCACCCTGGCTTCGATTCCTGGGCACGTGGACACAAAAGTGTGCACCTCATGCATGCACTGAATATAACCTGCTGCAAATCTCTCACTGGCCTCTTGAGTCACAGCCCCAGTTTCTAGATGTCCAGACAAACACGAGCTCTTAATTAATGTCATTGCAACTGCTTCCATAAATAAACAACGCACCTGAGTCATCTTACCCTGAGAACGGCTCTGTAGGATGCTCTCCACTCGTTTTACTGTTAGCTCAAGCACCTCGGCATTTTCCATCTTTGTCTGCGACTAAATGAAAAGTAAAATAAATGTACAATGAATAAATGTAAAATATCATTCTTGCATTTATTTTCTTTTTGGCTTAGTCCCTTAATTAATCCGGGGTCGCCACAGTGGAATGAAGCGCCAACTAATCCAGCACATGTTTTACGCAGCAGATTCCCCTCTAGCCACAACCCATCTCAGGGAAACATCCATACGCATCCATAGAATATAGTATTGATGAAAACAAGATATTTATATATTTTACTTGCAGGGGCACCCCCAAGGGGTGGCCACGGCCACCCCTGTGTAAACTCTAGCCACCATGTGACCACCCCAATATGATTTTGCTGTTGATATAATTAATTTAAATGTACTTGCGTAAATCCACAATATTTCAATAAATAAATAGATAAATATATAATTAAATAAACTAATAAATAAATAGCAACCACAAAATTATTGTGAATTGATTGGTGCCAGGGCTGCATGGTGGAGCAGTGGGTAGCATGTTCGCCTCACAGCAAGAAGGTCGCTGGTTTGAGCCTTGGCTGGGTCAGTTGGTGTTTATGTGTGGAGTTTGCATGTTCTCCCCATGTTTGCGTGGGTTTCCTCTGGGTGCTCCGGTTTCCCCCACAAGTCCGAAGACATGCGGTACAGGTGAACTATACTGAAAGGTAGGCTAAATTGGCCGTAGTGTATGTGTGTGAATGAGTGTGTATGGATGTTTCCCAGTGATGTGTTGCAGCTAGAAGTGCATCCGCTGCGTAAAACATATGCTGGATAAGTTGGCAGTTCATTCCGCTGTGGCGACCCTAGATTAATAAAGGGACTAAGCCGAAAATAAATGAATGAACAATTTGATGCCACTGATGTTGCGGATTCACTGCCCTCCCCCTCCCCGATCTTCGTTGACAGCCCGCAAATACCTTCAATAGACAGCAATAGCAATTTAATATTTACTTTAAGGTACATCAATAGAAAAAGCCGTATTAATAATATTGTGGTTTAAAAAGGAATATGGATAAATGAAATTATTAGGGTCTGTATAGTGTATATTTACTGTATATTAATTTTCATTAATTGTAGACATGGCATTTACTGTAAGCTGTACAATAAAAGTATGATAAAAATAACAAAAATTGTGCCACCCCAAGATTTAATGTTGCCTCTTCTGGACACCCCTAAGAAAATTTTCTGGGGACGCCACTGTTAACTTGGCAATTTATCTGATAATCTACTGACTGACCACTGATAGAGTCCGTAAACTTACATCGTTATTTGTGAGCAATGTCCTGAGATCCTGCAGGCTTTCATTAATACGTGCTCGCCTCTTTTTCTCCACGATAGGTTTTCTAGTCTTAAGAAGTTAAGAAACATGGAATTAGCATATGTGTGTTTAAACATAATACAAATCTCCATTCCTTTTTGACATTTAAGACAATGCAATATTTTCTTACCTTTCTGTCACCTTTAAATCCATAACATGCATATTCCCCAACACCAAGATTGTTTCTAAGTTCAGCAGCGTGGACCATCGCTCCGCAAATTAAAGCTGAGTAAAAACAGGAGTATTTGATCTGCACACAAAGGGGACGACACTGGTAGTTCGGAGGCTAGAATGAGGGTTTTAAAGTAGCTAATTTGCATATGAATGAAACATTCACATGCATCAGTCTGCGTTAGCTCCAATCAGAGCGCACTTAAGTGAAGCAACTGAATTGAATTATTTTTTGTTTATGTGAGTATCATGTAGGCCTGCTCCATTTCAAATCCCTGTACTTGTTAGCTTATTTTAAATTTGTGTACACTACATTACTCTTTCTTTATACGCATGATTTCAGTTTGGTTATGAGATATCTTAAAAACCTTCAAATTTAGTTCACAAAGGTCAAGAGGTCGGGCCAGTGTAACATAATGCTGTCGGTTGGCAGCTGTATGCGGTAGTCAGAGCTGAATAGAAGGAGGGGCTGGGTGAGCGGCAGGTGGGTGTCCAACTGCTCCATATGGCGCCTGATGGTACTAACTACAGAAACAACAACACTTAATTTTGATTATAAGCCTATTCTTCAACTACGGGCACTTTTAGCCTTGGGAAGTTGAGTTAAAAAAAATTGTTCAAAATAGGCATGGGACAATAACCGTTTTTAAGGTATACCGCTGTTTGGAGAAGTCAAGGTTTTAAAACCGCCAAAACTTTCTAAAATACTGTTCCTAAGGCATGTGTAAATTTTTTTTACTTTCTTTCTTTTTTTTTTTTTTAGGATAACAGTCCAGCAGAAAACATTTTCAAAGATGCCATTTTAAATTGTAATGATATCTGTATTTTTGAAACTAATGAAGACAGCAGAAGTCAATGATTCATTGTAATTATTGAAAATCTTGAAAAAAAATATATATATTGTGTTCAAAGGGGAATTTTTTATTTTATTTTTTTTACCCAGACATTTAAAATGAATACATTTTAGAGCAGTAATCACAATACCGTGGTACTGTGAAACCGTCATATTTTAATCCAAAGTTATCACACTGTAAGAATCTTATACCGGCCCATGCCTATTCAAAAGCATGTAACATAGCCTCATAAGTTTAAACAAGTTTTAGGACAAACTTAGATAAGGAGAGAAATTGTTAATATTTTCCTTTTATTCCATCGTGAACTGAACAAATGTAATTTCCACCACATCTCAATATACAGCTTTCATTTAAAAATGAAAAAAATTATGGCAGTCAAACATTGTCTAAAATAATTTTTGTATCTAGTTTAACCAATCTTTCCACAATGTATACATTATTTTATTGGCAAATGTATAATTAAATTCGTTTCTTAGGACCAAATGCTGAATTGTACACCTGTCTCAATCTAAAAATTAATATGAATATTGGATAACAGCTTATTAGAAAATAGATCAATTGAATTTGTATATATATATATAACACGTGCTATAGGTGAATTGGGTAAGCTAAATTGTCTGTAGTGTATTAGTGTGAATGATTTTGTATGGATGTTTCCTAGTGATGGGTTGCAGCTAGGCATGGGTCAGTTTAAGATTCTGATGGTATGATTACCCTGGATAAAAAAATCACAGTTTCAAGGTATCACAGTATTGTGATCACTGCTCTAAAATGTATTCTTCTTAAATGTTTGGGTAAAAAATAAAACCTTTTTTGAAAACAATCTAGTTATTTTTTTTTAACATTTATAAAATTTTGGAACAGCAAACTCAACGTTGACTTCTGCTGTCTTCATTTGTTTCAAAAACACAGGTCTCTTTACAGTTTAAAATGGCATCTTTGAATTTTTTTTCTGCTGGTGATAATGTCATGAAAAAAAAAATGTAAATAAAAAATCTTACACATACCTTTGGAACGATATTACAGAAAATTCTGAAGGTTTTAAAACCTTGACTTTTCCAAACCGCGGTATACCTTGAAAACAGCTATCGTCCCATGCCTAGTTGCAGCTGGAAAAGCATGCGCTGCATAAAACATATGCTGGATCAGTTGGTGGTTCATTCTGCTGTGGCGTAACTCTCCCGGATTTGGGAAAGACAATGAAGCTGTACGCATCAGAGAACAATACATGTTTCACATTGTCCACAGCCCAATTTTGCACCATTGCACTGCTGCACCATTGAAACAGGCTTTTGGCATTAACACGAGTGGGCAAAGGTTTAACTATAGCAGTTGGCTATGCATATTGATCCTGTGAAGCTCTCAACCAAAAGTTTTGGAAACAGGAAAGTTGAGCTGCACATTTAATTCTGCAGTGAGTTGGGCTGCTGTGGTATGTTTTTTTTTTTTTTTTTTTTTTTGGATACAATTGGTGTTAGCTTCCAAACATCCCTTTCAGACAGCTTCCTCTTGTTTCCATTGTTACTCCTGTTAATGAAAATACAGTAGTTCATTGTTAGTTCATGTTAACTCATGGTGCATTGATTAATGTTTACAAGCATGGACTTGGATGTTTAACGATGCATTAGTAAATGTTCAATTATGATTAATAAATGCTTTACATGTGTTGTTCATGTTAGTAAATGCATTAACTAATGAACGTTATTGTAAAGTGTTACCTTTACAATTTATTAGTTCATGCTCTATTCAACATACAAATTCAATTTATTTATTTTTAATAAGCTCTTAACCAAATTAGTATTTTAGAGTGGCAGAGACAGGTGTACAATTCAGCATTTGGTCCCAAGGGAATAATTTATTATTAATAAATTATATTTTATAATTAATAAATTATAAGTGTATAATTATTGTATATGTTGTGGAAAGATTGGTTAAACAAGATACAAAAATGATCTTAGACAATGTTTGACTGCCATAACTTATTTCATTTTGAAATAAAAGCTGTATATTGAGATGTGGTGGAAATGAAATTTGTTCAGTTCAGGATGGAAAAAATGTTAAATATTAACAATTTCTCTTCATATCTAAGTTTGTCGTCTTACAGATCCTAATACTAGACAAATTGTTTAAACTTATGAGGCTATGCTGCATTCATTTTGAACAAGTTTTTTTACTCAACTTCACAAAGCTATAAGTTCCCGTAGTTGAAGAATTGCTCTTAAATATAAGCAAAGAGAACAAGGAAATAAATCTCAAAAGTATATCCTTTCACTAAAATTTAAAAAAAGAGATGATCCAGCCATGGCCCATTATAAGACTTTAAATGGACAAAGGGTACTTGTTATGACTGTTTACAACAAACATATTGTATGTTTACAATACCTAGAACCTATTTTGCTTCAAAGTAGTGTTTGACAAAATGCTGAAGTTTGTTTTTACATGAGTGCAGAGGATTTTATTTTTGTTAGGTAGTTAGTCCCTCTTCAGTGGTAACTCCGACGTGTGTCTGGAAAGACACTTTTGGGAAGACACTAGCCAACCTCTCTGAAAAAAAAACAGGCCAATGAATGCCAATGAGTTGACAGAGCCAACTCCATGGAGGCTGATAATTAATCATTAATATATAGAATATCTTTTTCTCTTGAGACTCTCACATGAAGATCACCACATTGAGGCCAAGCTGTTATAAAGCAGTAATTTCACCAGTGCGGGTTATGACGTGTGCAGCGGCGTTGAACTGGGTGTCAGTTCCCATCCCTTGGCGTTTCCCTGCTAGCTAAAAAAGCAGCTTCAACTAAAAGAGCAGAAGCACCTGCTCAAAAAGCAACACTGTCAAAAAATGAATCTTTTTAATGCTGTGAAAAGTGCTCTGGATGCGGTTGTTTCCTCTCTCTAGGTGACAGGCACGAGTACTGTATCACATATCTGGGAGTCCAGCATGTGGAAGACATGCTCGTGGATAGCTCATGCTCTTGCAGTGTTGCATAACTGAGAGCATGGCATGCTCTTGCCTTGGGGCACACACCACTGCTGCCCCCCTCAAGTCAGTTAGCACGCAAGCAGGCATGGAGATCACAGCGGGGCCTCATCCATTGCCCTTGAGCCCGTGGACCCCTCCACTCCTCATCAGTCCGCTCGGTCCAAGCTTTGAGTGGGTGTGGGGGTGCATCATTCCACCCTCCAGGGTTGTCAGTGAGGTCTCGGATTTGGAGTCGGACTTGTTAGCTGTGCTAACCCAGGCTGCTTCCGAGGTCAGACTGGGGATGGATTAGACAGTTGTTATGTGGGGGCCAAGAAAGTTAAACCTTGCAAGCCCACTGTCCCCATCTTCCCAGAGGTGCACAGTAAGCTCACGCAGGCATGGAGGGCACCTTTTTCTGCCCGTTATTCGTGCGTTCCTGCCCTTACCACTCTTGATGACAGAGCCACGAGAGGGTACGAAGCGATTTCCCAGGTGGAGTGCGCTATCGTGGTCAGTGTTGGAGGGTCCGCCTAGACTCCTGTGCAAGGCGTGCAGGTTAATTGAGTCCCTTGTGGCCAGAACCTACACAACCGCAGGCCAGGCTATGACTCGACAATCAACGCTACCAAGTGCAGAAGTTGGCTGAGTTGCACTAGAGTGGTTCTTCCCCAGGGTTAATGCATGAGCTCTGCATGGTAACTGACTAGGCTTTCATGACCACCAAGTTGGCCGCTCGTTTCCTTGGGAAGACGGTGGCCACATTAGTGATCCAGTAATGTCACCTCTGGCTGGACCTGGCTGAGATGTGCAATGTTGACAAAGCTCGCTTTCTTAACTTGGCCATTTCACAGGCTGGCCTATTCGGCGACACAGTTGGGCACTTTACCCAGGAGTTCTCGTCGGTGAAAGAGCAGTGGAAGACCATGAAAAAGATCATCTATCAATGGGCTCAGAAAACTGCTCTTCCTGCTGACCCATCCAGCTTGGCTGCTCCTCGCCGAGGACATGTACCTGCGACCGTAAGACGTGCTCCACCTCAGCAGCCCGCTCTACTGACCAAGCGGTTCTACTTGCCGGGGTGAGCACTCCCCTGCACGAGCTCCATAACGCAAACTACCTTTAGCGTGAGCTCTACCATTCTGGTTAGTGCTGCTCAGCCCGTTACGGTGGCTTATGCAGTCGATTAGAATTAGTTATGCAATTCAGTTCACTTCACCGCTTCCCAAGTTCACGGGCGTGTATTTCATGAAGGTCTGCCAAATGTCCGCCCTTGTCTTGTGAGAGGTGATTGCTGTTCTCTTGGTGTAGGATGTAATCGAGAGTGGTTTTTACAGCCCATACTTTATTGTGCCCAAAAAGAGCGGTGGGATAAAACTAATCCTAGATCTGTGCAAACTATACACAAGATGTCGTTCAGGATGCTTGCGCAGATGTCATCGGGACTAGTTTGCGGCTATAGACCTAGTTGACCATCACTCTGTTGTGTTGCCACACCCTCAGTCCCTGGATGAATCTTGCCTTTCTATGGGCCCGGGTGTCCTTAGAACAAGTATCCAGGCATGGGGGCCATGTGCAACAAGCATCTAGCTGCGGGTTCGTGGAATGGACTCCGGCTGCATTAGCATATTAATTGCCTAGAGCTATTGGCAGTTTCTCACTCTTTGCTAATTTTTACCAGTGCTAGAATGGAAACAGGTGCTGGTAAGGTTGGACAGCATGGCAACTGTAGCATTTATCAACTATATGGAAGGGTATTTGATCCAGCTGATATTGGATCATTCAGGCAAGAGCACCCTTTACGAGGCATGCCTACGCCCTGTGGTGTGGTGTGTCCCCCTCCTCACTGAAGACTTACATTGCAGCCATCTCTGCTCAGCATGATGCAGTGGATAGCAGCTTGCTCTAGAAGCATAATCTAATCATCAGGTTTCTCCGAGATGCGCAGCAATTAAATCCACACCGCCCGTCCCCTCCTGGTAAGACTGCAGAGAGATCCGTTTGGAGGAACGTACGCAGAAGTTAGGATCTTCTGAACAGCTCTTATGATTTGGTGGTTTGCAGAAGGGAAGTGCCGTATCAAAACCGGTTGGCCCACTTGTTATTAGATGTCATTGCCCTCACTTGTCAGTGCCAGGGTGAGCCGTGTCCCCCGGGTGTGAAAGCACACTCAGTGTTGCCTCCTCTTGGGTATTAGCATGTGGTGCCTCTCTCACAGATATCTGTAGAGTTGTGGGCTGGGCGACGCCTAATTAATTCAAAAGATTATATCATCTTTGAGTGGAGCTGGTTTCTGCCTGATTACTGGGTAACCCTGGTTATTTGGGAAGAAAATTAGCAGCTGTCAAATGCTTGCTGTGCCATGCTCCCTAAACTGGAGATACGTGTGCTTATTTTGCTCTGCTAAAGTGAGTTTTCCATTTGGTGAACCCTAGAGAGTTCCTCCAAGGCACCCAGCACCTGATTCAGCAGAGGAGCCAGGTGTCTGGCCCAGTGCGGTGTCAGGTATGCCCGACACACGCATGCTGGGGTTTGGTGCCAGTTAAGTGTGTTCCCCTGTGGCAATCCCATATGGGTATTCAGCCACAGTGTGTTTTTCAATATCAGGTGTACCTGTGTCTTCCCTACCCACTAACCAGCTTATAGAATTGAGCACTCCCACTGGTTACGGCTAGTCCATATCACCATATTGTCACTAAGTCTCCCCTTTTGGGTAGCTCCCCTTCAGGGAGTGGCATGCTTTCCCAATGTACTGTTGTTTTAAAAAAATAAAACTCTAGATTACAATTAGCTAGGTAAAACCACATTTACAACATCTGAACCAAATTCTTTTAAATTATTCCCATATAATAGTAATTAAAGGGCCTAGGGGATGTTGGTAGGTTGCACCCTTCGTGATGCTTGTGCGCTCACGCTATGCTTGGCAAACTTTACACCAGGAGTGTTACAGGCTTAGCTGCTGTGCCATTTTCATATACTCTTACAAAAGTGTCTTTCCAGACACACGTCGGAGTTCCCACTGAAGGGTAACATCTAGGTTACCAACATAACCCTCATTTTCCTAAAAGGGAATAGAGCCGTGACACAGCAGCTGAGTCTAGAGTTGATAGCTGAGTGTTCAGCTCCTCAGCAGCTAAAACATAGCAATCGGTACATGTGCGCTGGCTGTATACTCTACTAATGATTAATTGCTGGCACTTGCAGAGCCAAGCTCTGCCAACTCATTGACATTCATTGGGCCGTTTTCTTACTTTTATGAGTGATTGGTCAGCTAGTGTCCTCCCAAAACTGTCTGTCCAGACATGCGTCTCCATTACACGTCTTGGTCTATGTTAGTATCCAAGATGGTATTTATTTAGTTAGTTTGTTGGTAAATCTGACCCAAAGGAGGACTAATCAGGTGCTGTTTGATTTTCTTTTAGGTTTTTGTGACACCCAAGACTTAGCGTTTGTCCTGCTGTAATCTGTAGAGAGTGGTTTGCAAGCTGTTTTTCTCATTGTACATCAAGACATTACAATAAATTCAGGCAGATTTATAACATCGCCATTTGATTGTAATTTGTAAGTATAGGCCTAACAGTGGGGATGTGATTTCAATGCAATTTACATATTTTTTTTACAGCCACTTTAAATTTTGTGTAGTTTAACAATCTTTTGCTGAACATCTGAACCATACTCTTTGCTTTAACTCATTGTGATGGAAGAATTAAGAAATTGTGTTCCAACTATTTATACTCCAGATGCAGTGGAGCAATATGTAGTGCTCTCGCCTTACAGCAAGAAGGTCGCTGGTTTAAACCTTGGCTTAGTTGGCGTTTCTCTGTGGAGTTTGCATGTTCTCCCTGTGTTTGCGTGGGTTTTCCCCACAGTTGCACAATTGCTTTCCCCACAGACCAAAGACATGTGATACAGGTGAATTGGGTAGGCTAAATTGTCCGTAGTTTATGAGTGTGTGTGTGGATGTTTCCCAGAGATGTGTTGTGGCTGGAAGGTCATCCGCTGTGTAAAAATGTGCTGGATAAGTTGGCGGTTCATTCCGCTGTGGCGACCCCGGATTAAAAAGGGACTAAGCTGAAATGAAATGAATGAATACTTATACTCGAGTAAAAAAGAGAAGTATGGCTGCCTCTTGTGTTTTTGTACTTCATCTGCTCTGCTAAAATGTAGAAATCAATGTAAATATTATTTACACATATTTTAGTGTTTTTTTGCACTGAATACTATTATGCAAATTAATGAATAAAATAGTATTTATCGTCATCGATACAAAAGACAAAAGAAATTAGTTACTAAAACTATTATATTTCCCTGGAGACATATATTTGTGTAAGTGCTTGAATGTTGCATCAGATTAACTGGAATTGTCATGCTATTTGCATATTTTTGTTTAATATTTTCCTTAATTTCTGTTCTTACAAGTTGCTTAAGACAAAAGCATATGCCAAATTATTTACAGTACATGTAAAATACTTTACAGAAATGGGTGGACTATTTTGTGTTGCTCCTTTATCTCTCATGTTGGTTTGATATTGGTTACAGGTAATTTCTACACGTATAGTAAAATTTCCAGACTACTGTCATTGTAAATTTGTTTACTTTTTAAAGATATGTATGTGAATTAAATAATTAAATACTATGTAATAAGTATTTCTTGCAAACCAATCTTTTAATAATAATTGTTTAAAATGCACATTAAAGTAATTGAAAGAAACATACAACACAGTATTAGTAGCCAAAGGGTTATGACAATTAAAAATATATAGGATATTAAGTAAATATGATTTATAGGGGCCTTTTACAATGGAGGCTACAGTAGTTTTAATTTAGAAAGGAAGTAGAAATTCTAAAATGGGAGCTATTCTGGATGCAGTGACACATATCTAAAAGATAGATATTAGAGGAGGTTCTACCACAATCAGCAAAAACTGGATGTGAATGCATACTATTCATACAGTTTTGCAGCATACAGTTGTCAAGTAAGTTATATAGTACTATCAACACAAGTACACTGTCAAAATAAATATTTCACCAGGGCCTCCACATCTGTAGAACTGAAAGGTGAGAACTCTCAACATCATGTGGCATTCTAATAGGAGTAAAATGCTGGTTCTGAGACTGATTGGGCCTCTTACACAAGAAAGGAGAAGAAGAGCAGGGTTTTGGACTCGCCGTCTCATCAACATGGAAACTAGAGTACTCGCTATGGTCTGAAGGAACACTTGTCAGGGAAGTCTTGGGTAGCCGAGGGCAGTCCTTTGCAGATAGAGGTAGAGATTTAAACAAGTGATTGAGCAAGCGGGATCCAAGGGTTTTGTCCATCCAGTCGCAAGAATGTAAAAGGTTGTGAACTTCCTGCATGCATTGGATATACCCAGTGCTGTATCTCTGTCGGGCTCCTGTATTCAGAACAGGGTCTGAGTGGACACAATAAGATTATGGGCAGTTCTTTTTAAATGTTAACCTGGACAACAAAAATTATATATAATTTATTTTAATTTTTTATTTTTTTGCTGAAAAAGAGAGAAACTTGACTTAAAGGGTCACGAAACACCAAAACACATTTTTTTGAGCTGTTGACAGCCGTATATGTGTCCCACACTGCTAAAAACACTATTAGGTCACCTATATTTCACTAAAAAGGGTAAATTGGTTGTTTTTGCGTTATTTCAAGCAAATTCATACTTCCTGTTTGAAACGAATTTTTGAAGCTGCGTCACGGCTATGACATAATAGCGTTGTATTCCAGCGTGCAGACTGGGCGTCTGTGCCAGAGTGAGTCTTATTACGTCTAACAGTGTGTTGCATTAATGCATGAGTAAGGCTTGGTTCAAACCAATCAGCGCGCTCTATTGTGCAACTTCATTAATATTCATTACTGTCAGAGTGTAGACGGCAAAGACGCCACGTTGTATTGGCAAAACAAGCGTGAAGTGTTACTTTTATAGTTTGCTGCAGTTAAGTTTCGTTTTCATTTTCTCTCTGTGAGAGCGCAGACTCACGCGTGGATTAACAGTGTACACGACACGCGACAACAATAACTTACGTGTCTAAGGAGGATTATTGTTTACCTGAGAGCTGTTCTGATCTGCTAACGCTGAGATCCGGAATTCGCTTGTAGTCTCCTCTAAATAAAGACGCGGCTCTAGTTGCTGGTGATTGTCCTGTCTCTAAAGATTTGGGAAGTGAGCGACCAGTGCCCTTTGTTTATTCCGTTCGTATTTTATTCGTATCCAACAAACTATTGAGTGTAAACAAGTTAGCACTAACAGTTACAACCAAATTATAACCTCGTGTTGGATTTTGTGACCGGAATAACACACGCGGCTTTCTGACGCTACCTGCCGTGTGCATCTAAGTTTCCGGGAAATGCTGAGTTTTTTTTTCTTTCATTTACCGTGCGGTATCAAACATTGCATGAAAAATAAACGCTTTGGAGCAGCGCCTCAAATCAAATATCACATTTGTCGGGAGGGACATGAATTAATTTCCTGAATGAAAGAGCCAAACTGCAGTTAAAGTCCACCATTTAATAATTTGGCAAATAATTCGACTACAGATGTCCATGTAAACACAGTCACATTGTCCGTTGTGGGTGTGTGTTTTGACTCTGAAATTCAGCGCGCCCAAATAGACACTCCCATACCAAGCCTCTTTTCTTCCTCCGACACTCCCCCCTAAACAGAGCTGGACACGCCCACTTTTCTGACTTTTTCCAAAGTAGAGGTGTGAAAACACACTGCTGAAACGAGGGGGTTTCATGGCCCTTTAAAACAAGCCAGTGTACAAACTAAAGAACTGTAACCTTTATAAATATTGTACACAACCCATTTTATGAATGCCATTTTACTTACCAGAAACTCTACTGCTCTGGATATTTTGCAAATGTTTCACTGTCATCTCAAGAATATCAGCTTTCTCTAACTTAGACTGCTGTTTAATTATGAAAAAGAACAAAAATTTGAGTATCAACTTTAGCTTTAAAATACTGTTTTGTACACACAAAAAACAGTTACTTTAAAATATGCATTTAACTTTAACTTACATCAGGCTTAAAAACTGCAACTACAGTCTCTCTCAGCTGATCCAGACAAAGATTTATTCTTTCCCGTCTCTTTCTCTCAATGAGAGGTTTCCGTAGCTGAAAAGATCAACACAAGCAAAGAAAAAGAAAAGCAAGCAATATCTTTGCAGTCTATGTTCCAAGAATATTTTATAGTGATTTTCTACCTTCCTCTCCTCTTTGCTGCTGATATGCAATTGGCATGAATTTTGCTGAAGCTTGGTAGCAGTCATGTCCATCTGCTTCTGTGCAGTGTAAACTGCGTTCCACTCACTGGAAGATACACGGCACATACTCTTTATTTATAGGAGGGACATTAGCATCTCAATGCACAAGCTCTTTGCCTGAGATATTTTCCCACACACTCACTCCCATCACTCACAAATGACAGGCCACTGCCTCTATTCAATACATGAGCCCCCAAACGCACACACATAGGCATACTCAAAGCAAACAACAGATGTCGAGCCTAGAGGCGTTCTGAACACAGAAACTACATCACGTGAAATCACAAGATAGTTTTCCAAGGTGGCTTGGCATTCCCAGAATCTAATTAGTATGTTCTGTTACAGTCAACCACCTGATACCCAATGCATATTCACACACTCTTCAATAGACCCAAGCGAAACCAAACCCAATACCACAGGTTTCAGAGCCAGCAATCGGAACCACTGTCTACAAATAATATGGTGAAAACAAATAATAATTCAAAAGTACTTGTTTTGGCAAACAAAAGGTCTATTTGCATTATTTTTTTTTCAAATATTAAACAAACATAAATATTTGTCTGAAACAAGCAGGTAGTTTGGTTTATGCCAGATGTCTTTACCCTCCGACAGTCAGTGTAGGCAGAGCACATCCTGGCAAAATCAGGCTGTGCGTAGGCATAAGTCAAAGTGCTCTCTGCCACAGGCAGATGTATGTGAATTAATAATTTTAATTTGTTCAACAAGAGCCATGAGACTACTAGCAGAGCACACATACTTGGGAAACTTCACCATACAAGAGTGTTCATTGATCTGCGGCTAATGTGAGTGACCCATGGCAAGTAGGACGAGGAGGAAAAAATTTGGATGTGTAAAATGTACATAATATATAGGGTTACATTTACAAGTAAAATAAAAACATTTATTGAAATTACAAACATTAGTTGGCTAATATATGTTATTATGGCTTACACATATGCTACACAGATGCCTGGAATGCTCTATTCTGATTAGTCAAGTCATGACATTCCATGATATGTTATTCCCAGATAACAACTGCTAAAAAGCTCATCCGGGAACTTTGAATAACCTTAGTGTTGTTTTTGGTAGCCTGTTTTAATTTTAGTTTTAGCCTAGTCTTTATGTGAAGCTGTGATTTTAGTTTTTATTTGTTTTAGTCATGTTTCCACCCTTTTTAGTTTGGTGGAGTTGTAGTCAACTAAATGTCTGAGCATTTTATTCTAGTAGTAGCAGTTAACTAAAGTTAAATCTATTACAACTACTCCATTCCGATGTGGTTTGGATAGCTGTCATTATGGATTTCTCTCATGAATATGTCTCGCTGCATTCACTTTAGGTGACATATATATCAGTGGATCGTGCAGTGGAGGAAATCCCTAAAAGTTTTTTGGGGGGAGGGCAATCAACAACAAGACCCGATGGAGCGGGTCCTTTCACTCACAAAATAGCTACCTCCAGTTTACAAGCTCACAAAAAGGCTGCAGCTAATGCGCCAGCTCACACATTGGTTTCTGCCGATCTACCGTTGACTCAAATGCAACACTGGCTCATTTTGAAAACATTCGCCTATACAGATTTCTAGACATTGCAATTTATGTAGCTAGACTTACATATGGCTGCATTTTGTCTTTAAAATGAATGCTACTGGGCGGTATGACGCCGTTCCATCAGTCAGTCAGTAAGTTGACAGAGGCCTCTTGTGGTTTTACACGAGAACGGCAGGCGCGAATGGCACTAGCGAGAGAAATTTGGGATCTCAAAAAGCCTACACAGGGGGCTTTGGTGGATTTGCAAAAACTGCAAAAACATACCACTTGCAAAGTATTTAACAATCTCCAAATATTTATATAGCGGTACGTAATTAGAATGAGCCTGGATTGCTCAGATGGTTTTCTGTTCTGAGTTTCTCCCTGTTGTAATTTCTGTCATCTTTCCTGCCCCTGAAATGCCATTACCTGTGCCACAAGAATGGCCGCCACCAGAGCTGCCACTGCCAGAGCTGCCAGATCCTCTGTCACTGCCAGATGTGCCAGATTCTCCATCACTGCCAGAGCTGCCAGATCCTCTAGGGGCACCAGATTCCTCTTAATTGCCCAAATGGCTGGCTCCAGATCTCTCTGTATTCCCTGATTGGTGGCCGCCAGATCTCTCTAAATTTCTCAAATGGCGGGTGGCAGATCCCTCTGAATTCCCAGAATGGTGGGCACCAGATCATCCAGAGTCTCATGAATGATCAGAGCCACCACCTGTGTCCCACGAATGGCCAGAGCCATAAATTGAGTCCCACAAATAGCTGCTAGAGATGTGTTACTTCCTAGAGCCTCCTGAACCACTGGGGCTGTCTGACCCATCAGTGCCTCCTGACCCACCGATGCCTCAACTCAGGCCGTACTCACACTAGGTACAGTTGCCTCGAACCGGGCCACAGCACGCTTGTCCCCCTCCCGTCTCCCCCGACGGCCCGCGCTCACACCATATCGGGCCTCAGCACGCTTACGTCATCGCTGCTGCGCTGTTCAGAAGCGCTCTCTATGGCAAGCCTTTTTAGCATTTAAATCTTTGTTTTGACTCCATAAATATATTTAGAGATATCTCTGATTATATTTTGACTAGTCATAATTATAATTCGACTAGTTAGAATAACAATTAGAGATATCTGCAATTACAATTGTACTAGTACGAAATCAGATTGGAGATATCTGCAAATATATTATGACTAGTCATATTCCTCCATTGACTTCCATTGAAAAATATTTGCAGATATCTCTAAATGAGTTTTGACTAGTCACAATTGTAATTAGAGATATCTCTGAGTTTTTACTAGTCATAATACATTTGAAGATATCTTTAATTTATCATATTTAGAGATATTTACAAATATATTTGAAGATCTCTAATTAATTCACTAATAGTCGAATTACAGTTGTAGATATTTTGAATTTTTGACAAGTCAAAACTCAGTTAGAGATATCTGCAAATATTTTTTCAATGGAGGTCAATGGAGGAATATGACTAGTCATAATATATTTGCAGATATCTCCAATCTGATTTCGTACTAGTACAATTGTAATTGCAGATATCTCTAATTGTTATTCTGACTAGTCGAATTATAATTATGACTAGTCAAAATACAATTAGAGATATCTCTAAATATATTTATGGATAGTCAGAACAAGGTTTAAATGCTAAATCGGCTTGCCATACGCTCTCACTCAGCAGCACAGTGGAGATTTCTCTAGTTATATCGTTTCAGTCGTTTGATATGCCGTCAAATATTTCGCCAAACAGTCCTTAGGGATGCGGGGACACGCAGTCAGATATTTCGCCGAACAGATCCGCCACTTTTGGCGCTCATAAACAATCATTAAGCTCTCGTGCTGCAGGAATGAGGAGGTCTGCTGAAGGCGCGCAGCTGGCGTGCTGTGAGGAGTTTGCGTCTTTAATAAACTACGGCAGTTTGCGTTCACTGAACAGTAAGAATGATTAATAAATCCATATCAAACAGTCCCTTAAAAGTCACGTCTCGCTTTCGGTTTCGGGCTTTGGCGCGTTTTGCGCTCACACACAAGCGTACCGCGCCAAAGCCCAGGTGTACCGCGCTCAGGCACACCTCTTCCAACCGGGCCAGGGCCGGCCAAGTGAACCGTGCTTGAGCGCGATTCAGCGCACTCACACTTCTCAAACGATCCGGGAAACGGGCCTGGGCACGGTACGGATGGCATAGTGTGAGTAGGCCCTCAATGTTCCGGGCCTTTTGCAGCTCCTGTTCTAGGCTCACCTCCGTTGCATAGACCTGGCCCTCCAACCCTCTCCCTTTTCTGCCTACGCTTCTCCTTATTGGATTTTATTTTTGTTGTGTCTGGAAGCCGCACCTAATAGGAGGGGGGTATGCTCTGTCACAATCACCAGCAATTTAGGCCTAGTACCTCGCTGGTGAACTACACATTTACCACTTTAATGAACTCCCATCATGCCCATACACACCAGTTCCTGATTCATCTATATGAAGCATTCTATTGTCCTGCCTTGCCGTGTTTCCTTAAGACTCTTGCCTTGTTAACTGTTTTTACTGTTTGCCTCCTGTACCGATATTTTAGCCTGTGACCCTGACTTCTCCATTGGATTGCCTGCATGCTTCCATCTGTCACTTGAAGGGTCACTTTGACTTGCCATTGTGTATGAGATGTGCTATATAAATAAACTTGCCTTGTCTTGTATTAAATACACAAAGAAAGGGAGGTGTAGAAAGGCAGTGAAAGCCCAGACAGCAGCTAAAATCTCTCAGTAGTTAGGAAGCAACCCTCTACTTCATTATTACAAATTATTATCAGCTGCTTTAGTCTAGGCTACTTAGTTTTAGTTAACTTCTACATTACCAGCATGATAAAGTTGAAACCAGGGTGGACATTTCAGCAAGACATTGATCCAAAACACAGCCAAGGAAACAAAGGAATTTTACACAATTACAAAGGAAAAACAATTTTACAAAGGACGAAACAAATTTACATTTTAGAAAACAAATTAACAAGATGCAAAACACCTTTACAAATCCCGAAACAAATTTACAATTACAGATTCCTCTACGGAAAGGGAATGTACCACACCCCGGAAGTGACGTAGAATGTACCACACACCGGCAGTGACCCGGAATGTAATACACACACTGGAAAATTTCAATAATATCCAGCTCGTGTGTGACTTTGTAGACAGGTTTCCACAAGTCTACAACTATAAAAATCATGGTTTGACTAACTGCAATAAAATAAATTAGAGCTATTCTGAGAAAATATCAGCGTGAGAGTGCATAGAAACATGTAAATGCAAGTACATGGTGTAGAAAATATAATTCTTCTTTTTTTTATTTCTCAGAGTTATTCTTGATTCTCTATTAGTATGCTGTGTATGCTTTGCCTAAAGAGATGTTAAATCAGTTACCCTACATTCATTCTTTACTATATATATTTTTTATATTCTATACTATATTTTGTATGTTCTGTGAAATTATATGCTAACCAAAACTGGCCTTTGAGGAGATGTATTTTGCATAC